AATATGTATCACTGACTAGAGAGAAACCTGTCAAGAGTACTTTGTTTCAGGTTCTTGGTTGCGTGTGTGGAGAGGAAGTTGTCAATTCTGTTAACATAAGTTAGCCTGTCCTCTGCATTTTCCATGGTAGAAATCAATTTTCTGAGCTCACCCACGATTTGCAACCCAGCAGAAACTGAAGGAGTTGGTAAATGGTCGCCCTCTTCTTCTGAGTCACTCTTTTCTCTCTCACTCCCCACAGGGTCAGAGGTGGTGAGTGAGAGAGAATCGGCGATAATGTCACCGAGTGTGCGAGTGCTGCTCGTTATTAGGGCATCATCCACTGCCGCGTAATCTGGGAAATTTTGGAGAATTTCCTCAGTTTCTGTGATATTGGATATGATATTGTCGGTGGTATTTGGCTCGTCTGAAAATTTGAATGCCGCCTTCCGGAAACAGTTTTTAATAATGAGTGGGTCAATTTCATCCCAAGCAGCAGTAATAAAATGAATAGAGTCTAAAGATTAATTTTGGTTGGATTTTCTCCCTCCATGTCTCTCAAGTACCGCTGGAATAATTTTTTATGTACTTTTGTTTGACCACTTTGATAATACCCTGATCTAAGGGCTGCAACTTGGATGTGGCAGTAGGTGGCAGAAAAACGATTTTTACGTTTGTGGTAGGGATGTCTTTTGGATGTGCAGGGCAGTTATCAACAAAAAGAATAACACACTTTTCTTTTCTTCTTACCAAAAATGGCATCCAACTGATGAATCCAGTTTTTAAACAGATCTCCTGTCATCTAAGATCGAGCTTGAGATAGGTAATCGCATGGTAGAGATCGTACATTTTTAAAACAACGAGGAGAACGACTTTTCCCAATCACAACCAACTTTATCTTATGAGTGCCAGTAGCATTTGTACAAGCCAAAACTGTCAAACGTTCTTTACTCAGTTTTCCACCATGGCATGTTTCGTTTTTAAAAACGAAGGACTTGTCAGGCATGAGTTTTAAAAAAAGGCCGAATTCGTCGGCATTGTATAGACATCCTCAGGCGCGTAGTCTTGCAATAATGAAGGCAACACATTATTTTTCCATGAAGAAATATCGTCCTCATTAACAGCTTCAGCCTCCCCAGAAATTTGCCGGTAAACAATGCCATGTCTGTTACGGAATCGGTCAAGCCACCCAGTCGATCCACAAAAATCGGTAATGTTGAGATGAGAGGCTATTTCCTTGGCCTTTTCCATGATCACACCTCCGCTCAATGGGTAATTATTGCTGCGAGCTTTTTTTTTGTTGGAACCATTCCACTAACACTTTCTCCAAATCCTCGTGCTTTGCGTGTTTCAGTTTTTGTCGTTTGGTTCCACCGACGTTTTTCTCAATATCAACTCTACTTTTCAACACCGTTCTCAATGTAGAAGGAGCAATGCCAAGTTCTTCGGCAATTTCTTTTTGTTTCTTATTTGCTTTACACCCTTCATCGTACTTTTTTAAAATGTTTAATTTATCAGAAATTGATAAAGCTTTTCGCTTAATGCCACTGGGACCACTGGAAGCACTTGCCATTGTAAAACACTTCACAATTTCACAAAAACGTTATACAGCGGTTCGAACAAACAACTAAGCAATAATAAACCGTTCTATAGCTCGGCGAAAACTGAAGGGTGACTCATGTAGCATTAGCGCGGAGAAAGGGTTTCTTGGAAAACAAATGCGCGCTTCCCCACTTCGCAACCCCCATCCCTAGTAGAGTAGAGAGAAAATGCGACCTTGACTTTTTTTCTTATCAGTTCAAAGTTTGCGGTCTGTCAGAGGGGAAAAAGAGCGTACTATCCAACAAAAACAGAGCGTCTTACCGAGTAGATTTTATGTGCATTAGCATAGGAAAATTCAAGGGACCGACAAAAAAAAAGCTTATTATGCGGGAAAGCGTATTAAACGAGAGCGTCTTAACGAAGTTTTACTGTATATATATATATATATATATATATATATATATATATATATATATATATATATATATATATATATATATATATATGATCAATTATGACCATTTATGACCAATCAATCAAGCAAGTCTTTTACATGTGATATTGTTTGCATCTAATGCCAAGTAGTCATACTCTAGTGTTGGATCAAGAATCGATTGGATTGACATGGTTAGATGTTATGAGCAAAATATGATGTGTAATTGGTATATTAAAAATGAAAAGTCGTGCTATAAGAAATGGATCATATTCTTGATGGGATACTGTTTGGTGAGTCTATAATGATTTACTCTATTCATTTGTGAATATGCTGTATTTTTAATGATTTACTCTATTCATTTGTGAATATACTGTGTTTTTAATGTGAACATTCGGTTTTTAGAAATTTTTAGTTTGAAATTTCGGATTTTTTAGCTTGAACTTTCGAATTTTTTAGATTGAACTTTCAGATTTTTTAACTTGAACTTTCAGATTTTTAACTTGAACTTTCGGATTTTTTAATTTGAACTTTTGATTTTAGATAATTTTTGATTTGAACTTTCGGATCTCAAATATTTTTTGATTTGAACTTTCGGATCAGGAATTTATTTTTTCTACCTTTACAACTATTTTAAAGATGGGTGCATCATCTTGGGAGTTTGAAGGTTCACTTATGATATGCACTAAATTCTTTTTAAATTTTAATATTGCAATATCTTTCGGAATGTGATGGCGAATAGTTTTATTTTTCAAGTATAATGATTTAATTTTAACTTTTTAATTTAAAGTATAATGGTTTAATTTTAACTTTTTAATTTTTAGTTTTAATTTTTTTTCTTCTGAAATGTGAAAATTTTCCAATTAACTTACCAAGTTGCAATAGGGGAAGGTTGGCGCCATCAAACTAATTTAACCCCACTTATCGGTCCTAAGTCCGAGATTGCACTTGGATATCTTATAAATTTTTATTTTATTTTATAATTTTTAATTTTGTTTGAAAATGATGGAACATTATCTTTTATATTCGTCATTGATATTCTGAAGTGTTTTGGTATTTTAGGATTCATATATTTCAATTTTAAATTGATAATTGTGAATGTTTTTATATATATATATATATATATATAATATCTATATATATATATATATATATACAAAATATATATATATAATATATACAAAATATATATATATAATATATATATATATACATACATATATATATATATATATATATATATATATATATATATATATTATATATACACTGGCCTCAAAAAGTTAAGGTACAAACGGGTTTTTGTGTCTAATTTGCAAAAATGAATGAATGTAGAAACAAAAAATTTGAGGATATGTGCCTTAAATAGTTTTTTATTGAATGCGTCATAGAAATTTGTATAAGTGTATTGCAAAAACGATTTATAACAAAAAAAGCAATCTCTGCGGAAAAGTCCATTCTTGGAGAAAACAGCACATCACAGTGTTATGTGGTAAAATGGCATAAAAACAATACAAAAATGGGTTCTAATAAGGAATGTGTCCACCCCTAACTTGAATGCATTGGCGGCATCGATTTCCCATGTTGTTTATTAAGTTGTCGGACACCGGAATAGGAAGCGATACCAGACACAGAGTAAGCCTTGTTTCAGCTCATGTAACGACCTTGGAGGAGGATTTAAAGCAGCAACCTCTCTGCCAAGATAGTCCCAAAGATGTTCTATCGGATTCAGATCTGGAGATCGAGCTGGCCATTCCATTCGTTCCAAACCGTGATCCTCCAGATTCTCCTCAACAATCCGAGCTTGGTGAGATCGTGCATTATCATCCATCAGAATGAAGTCGTTACCAATAGCAGCAGCATATGGGCGGACATATGGATCAAGGAACTCATCCCGATATCTAAGACCAGTTACGGTTCCTCCATGGAACACATGCAGGTCAGTGTGGCCACCGAGCGAGATCCCTGCCCAAACCAGGATTCCACCACCTCTATAACTGTGTCTTTCAACAGTGTTGGATTGATGGTATCTAGTGCGCTGTTCCCTCCAGATCAGTAGACGCCCTGAATCACTCTCCATTGTAAATCTGGACTCGTCTGTGAACAGCACAGAAGCCCATTGTTGCTGCGTCCAAGAAACATGTTCTCTTGCCCAGCATAAGCGGTTCCTTCGCTGTCGTCCGTTGAGGGGAACGCACACAACTGGTCTTCTTGCATACAGACCTGCATTGTGAAGACGATTTCGCACCGTAGTAGCGGAGATTCTTCTTCCTGATGCTTGAAAGTGGTCTGCAACGAGCTGCGGCACAGTAGTGGTTCTTCTCCTTCGTGCCGAAAGAGCTAGAAAACGGTCTTCTGCAGGTGTTGCAGCTCGTGGTCGGCCTGGAACAGGTCTTCTGGACACAGAATCTTCGGATTGGTATTGATCCCGAAGTCGCTGAACAACACTACGAGACACATTGAGACGCCTAGCAGCATCAGCCTGCGACAATCCCATTTCCATCCATCCAACTTCCCGCCACCTTAACGAATTGGGTAAACGACGTCTCTGAGACATTTTCTAAACTCTATTGACTATTGTCACCGAAACTGCCAACAACTGTTGAAAATCAACACAACTTACACACAAAAGTACGAAAGCTTGATATTTGCATATTTTTCTCTCACTCATAAATATACGTTCTTTTCTATAAAATAAAAGTGGTAGCAATCGTTTTTGCATTAATGTTTTTAAAGTTCGTTATTATCATTCATGTAAACTATGCATTTTATTGTTACTGCCATTTTTTTTATGGTGAGCTTCGAAAAACATGTTGTACCTTAACTTTTTGAGGCCAGTGTATATACATATTATTATTATTATATAATAAAATCAGAATATTAAGTGGCAAAAGAGAAAGCGATTTTATTTGCAATTTTCCTTTTTTTTTCTATATATGTTTGTTGGTCTATATTTTCTTGTTTGTTACGATTTATTCATTAATTAAATTTAATTATTATAATAAAATAGTATAGGGGAAAAGAAACCACTTCCTCAGAAGTTAAGCATCCCAGCTGGTATTTAAACCCATGACCTTTGGACCAGAAGTCCAACACGCCATCCTTTGTGCTACAGGGACACAACGAATGGTTTTCCTTTCAAAATATGCTGTTACTATATTACTTTTTTGTTACTATTTATTAATTTTTTAATTTAGTTAATTAACTAATATTTGAAAAAACTGTATTAATATCAAGTGTTATACACTACATGTTTAAAAATAATGTATTTGAACTAGAATTAATAGAAAATATTTTATGAACAATTAAAAATTTGATCAAGTTATATATATATATATAATTTAAGTGCAAAAGTTTGAAGATTTGTGCAAAAATGTTTCAGGCATAAAAATTTATTTCACAATTAAAAAATACCTTTTTTTTATCATTTTTATTTTTTTTTAAGTAGCAGAATTCAAACTTATATACTAGATTTTGAGATATTGAACCAGAAAATAATAATTACTTTTGAGCGTGCTCGCAGCTCTTTAAAAAAATTTTAAAAATTAATTTGAACAAAAAAAAAGGTTTTCGTGTTTAAGCATCAATAATACACAAATATTTTTTTTTAAATATTGCTAGCATGCAAGATATACTAAAGTGTTCGTAGAGAATCATGTGGTGTAAATAATTACCCTATTTTCCTGATGGCAAATATCAAAAATAAAACAAAAGTAACTTTGAACAAGAGATCAATGACTTAAGCCGAAAATAAGGTAATAGTAACCTTTTAAAGGAATCATACGATATATATATATATATATATATATATATATATATATATATATAATAACGAAAATATTCTTCCCTTATAATTTTCAACAACTCGCTCCTCCAAATAAATAGATTTGCCAACTTGCTGAAATTTTTTAATGAAAATCACAGGCGCTTGCCCAACTTGCTGGGCACGCTCAAAATTGTGCAGCCACGGTAGAGTCGTGGTCGTCATGGACTCGTGGCTGGCGTGTCATGGGTTCAAGCTTAGTGCCTCTGAAGACCCTCCGTTTAGATTAGAGGTGGTTGATGTGCGTCAAATATGTCGTTCTCCCGTTGGTGTGGTGTGGGAGTAAGGAAAGGGGTGTTTCATTTCAGGTGTCGTCTTCGTCACATGTACATGTTGCAGAAATTTACGAGGTTCATTGCTAATCGTTCTCTGCAGCTTTGCAGTACATTAATAAACTCTCACACAAACGCTCATAAATCTATCGAATGTACATAGATTTACCATATTTGCTCTATCACTTCAGATCAGCTTAAATAGCAACGCCAGATTGTATACTTATATCACGGTTACTTTACAAAGTGAGGGTTTTTCAAATCAAGCAAATTCACAAAGAAACCCGAGATAAAGATAGAATGGAAAAATGCGTTAGAACCCACTAAAAGTCAGAAATTGCAATATTAGAAAAATGAACACGATATAAAAGAATTTGCTCTTGTATAGGCACACATTTTTTGTTAAACCTTGTACCACAAAAGAATTTTGCTTTCAAAAAATTTAAAATTCTAATTTTCCATTGTTGATCTTGAAAGTTGAAAGCTTAAGGACCGAACATAATGCAGAGTTTTCTGCTTTAATTCTTTTGGCAGTAAATTTTAAAGGTTCATCACTTACTTCACTAATTGTTTTTTTTTTAATCTATATTACTCATACAGGTACAGCAATGAAATTCTCAGCTATTAAGATATATTTTGATGTTTCATTAAAATAATTAAGAAATAATAGTGAATTTATAAAGTATTTTTTAGGGTAATCCCTTAAAGTAAGACTCTTAAACCTGCAATCCTGGTTCCTAAGGCCAGGAATTTGTCTTTATACTATGTGCCTCCTTCCTACTTTTAGTTATCTTAGGTATATAACTATATGTCTATTTTTATATTTTTGTTTATGTATCTGTGTATATGTATATATATGTATAAATTTATATATATATGTGTATGCATATGTATATGATTATATATTGAAAAATTATTTTATATTGGATTATATATATATATATATATATATATATATATATATATATATTTATATCCTGATAACTTTCTTTGTAATTATATTTATAGTAGTTTTTAATGATACAATTTGTATTACTGTAATTATTTACTGTCATTATGTTTTGTAATATAATTTTTTAAATTTCTACAATATCTAATTTATTCTGCAATTATTAAATAGATGGCGCCACATGCTTATTAAATTTTAATAATATTATATTTTTTGCGTTTCATTTATAATTTACACTAATTTTTATATGAATATTATTTTATGACTTTTTAAAAGTATATATATATATGTATATAAATTTCTTAATATCCTATCGCAATTAATTTTATGTGGATCTGCTTTCACTCCCTTGTATTTGGCGGGAACACATTACTAGTTGATGCACTCCCGACCTACGTCTACACTGCGAAGAAAAGTAGGTTATGTTTTTGTTCATATGTTATTTAGTTTAATGATTTTTTATTATTTAAATTCCTCATATATAATTCTTTCCTTTCCTCTTAGTACATAGTATAACAAATAACAAGGTGAAGGTTGGTCGGCCCCAAAACATGTTTAAACTTGCAATCCTGGTACCTAAGGCCAGAAATTTGTCATTATACTACTGTGCCTTCTTCCTAATTATAGTTATCTTAGATTTATAACTATCTGTTTATTTTTATATTTTTTTTATATGTTTGTTTATGTTTATATATATATATATATGTATGTATGTATATATATATATATATATATATGTATGTATGTATATATATATATATATATATATATATATATGTATGTATGTATATATATATATATATTTATATATTGAATCTTTTTATATTTTGGATTATATATATATATATATTGTGGTGTTGTGAAATGTTAGCAGTTACGATCACAAACTTTATACTTTAAAATAAAAAAAACACTTTATTTTCGGAATTAAACAATTATTATCTAGAATACGACAGTGTGATATTAAATAAAGTCTAGTTTAAGAGTCAGTATGGGTCTGTTAAGCCGTTGCACATCTAAATTTTATCCGTTTTCATCCATCGGACTTTTTGTTCAAGAAGTTCGACACATATTATTTGTCCGAAGAGCATTCACCCCAGAATTTTTTTATTCCCACAAGTTCAAGTAACAGGAACAACCAGAATTATCCCTTCTTTCTCCCGAATCGACCCTTTTAAACTCAAGAGGCGAGTCATCTACACGCCCCTCAACATCTCTCATTGACGGGCAATAAAATTTTGCACTCAGAACCTTGGACTTATTTGCACACCACTAGTGAAGACTGAACAATGGCCGCAGTTCTTCTCGATCTCTCCCGTGACTTCTACTTCTGCCACCTTCCTTGGCGCCGGACTCCTAAGTCAGATAGGCTCCATCAATGGGCACACAAACGGACTATGTTTTGTCTATTGTATGTTCGGATGTTCGGACACACTGGCGTCTAAAGTCTTGAATTTTTTTTACTAATTTTTATTTTTTTTAAGTAGCAGAATTCAAACTTATATACTAGATTTTGAGATATTGAACCAGAAAATAATAATTACTTTTGAGCGTGCTCGCAGCTCTTTAAAAAAATTTTAAAAATTAATTTGAACAAAAAAAAAGGTTTTCGTGTTTAAGCATCAATAATACACAAATATTTTTTTTTTTAAATATTGCTAGCATGCAAGATATACTAAAGTGTTCGTAGAGAATCATGTGGTGTAAATAATTACCCTATTTTCCTGATGGCAAATATCAAAAATAAAACAAAAGTAACTTTGAACAAGAGATCAATGACTTAAGCCGAAAATAAGGTAATAGTAACCTTTTAAAGGAATCATACGAATTACATATATATATATATATATATATATATATATATATATATAATAACGAAAATATTCTTCCCTTATAATTTTCAACAACTCGCTCCTCCAAATAAATAGATTTGCCAACTTGCTGAAATTTTTTAATGAAAATCACAGGCGCTTGCCCAACTTGCTGGGCACGCTCAAAATTGTCCATTATAATGTCCATATCTAAATCCATTATAATGTATAAAAATAACTTACCTAAAAATTGCATTCCAAAATGCAGAGCCCGCACTAAATCTGAGTACAATAAATACGTTATTGCCAGATTCTGTACCCAAATGCAAAATCAAAACATGAGAATGGCTGAATAGTCACAACGGCATCCAAACGCGTTCGGAATACTTTTTGACAAAAAGACATATTTAAACATTACAAATGCTTTTTTAGGACTCAATACCAATAAATACTAATATTTAAAATAAATAGCCTAAATTTCATAAAAATCAAAATTATAAGTGAAATTTCAGCAATATTTTTGTAAGACTTCAAGGCAATGAGAGACAAAAGTAGTAAACTTATATTAGTAAAAGTATTACCAAAACAAATTACATGCATTTATCTAGAGAATGTACTAAAATTTTAACGTTTTATTAATTTTGAAAATTTTAGAGCTGATTGAGTAAACATTATAAGAAAAGTCACATTCTTTATGACACCATTATTTAAATTACAAGCCCTAACTCAAAAAATATTCATAGAATAAAAAATGTTTTAGTGCATTCTCTAGAAAATAGCATAAATATCAAGTTCAAAAAGTTTTATAGAAATAAATTCGTAACATTTTGAATTATCAGACTCACCATGAGAGATTTTGAACAATTTAAATGTCCTTCTCTGGTAGATCGAAGAACCACTTCCGGTTATTCTACCTTTATAAAATTGATTGTAGCTTAACCTCTAGACAGTATAGAAACAAAACAAAGTATGCTTTGTAAGGCCAAAATATAGCTATATTCAATAAAATAAATAACAAAAATATCTATCTTGATTGAATCTGATCATTTTCAAAGTGTTCAGATAAGCCGACAAGACACAAAGGGGTATATGCAGTACCGCATAAAAGTAAAATTAGTAAATTGTGGTAAAATAAAAGTTTATAAATATCTTTATTTCATTAGAATATGCCGAGAAATTCTTGGGTTAGCTTTCTGGAAAGTTATTTAATATTGAAAAGCATTAAAATTTCTAATTTGGCCCTCTAATAACAATAATTTTTAAA